ATATATATATATATATATATGCTTAAAATAATCATTGTACTTTCTACAGCTGGTGAACCAACAATGCTTCTTGGCAGCACCTGGGTTTACCAGAGGCTCGAAACAAGAGTCAACACCAACAGCAAAATAAGCCGTTTGGCAGAGAAGATTTGGCATTTTTTTCATGTGTGCAACCCACATACTCAGCTCTACTGCTCAACCCACAAATGCATGTTCCTTACAAAACTGGCACCATTTAAAAAGGGAAAATAACAGGCTTTCCAACGGTATAAGATTTATTGTCAATAACAAATGTTACAACAAAGAAATTAGAAATAAGTTTAGATTTTTTAAATGCTTGGATTTCGAAGTTGGACCATTTACCTGAGGACTGATGGAAGGCTCCACTGCCTCCAACTACATTATCCTCCACAATGGGTCGGATCTTCTGCTCGTCGCTGTCCTCTCCTGAGCCTCCATCATCTTGCTCCTCTTCCTCATCCTCACTGGAGGAGAACTGCATCTTGGATGATGCTTTGTTACCCTTTACCTTGTGCTTTTTCTCATAAGACCGTTTCCGGTTAACCTTCTTTTCGGGTGAGCTTTGTTCGTTTTTTGTGTCAGTTTGCTTTTTTGTACGACTAGATCTTCTCTTTGCAATTGGTGCTTTACTCTTCGAGTCCTTCTCCCGTTCAGAGTCTGAACCTGAAGAGCCTGAGCTGTCCTGTTTCTTCTTTTTAGACATTTTCTTAGTTTTTTTGTCTCCGTCAGAATCTGAGCTTTCAGGTTTTCTTTTGCGTTTGGATGATCTTTCTGTGTCCTTTGTGGATGCGTTTGACTTCAGTAAACGTTTTTTGGCTGTTGTGGACTCCTGCTCCTCATCTGTGCTATTGCCTGCTGCAGTTTTCTCCAGCAATGCAGGAGGGACTTCATCTGAGTCGGAGTCCTCCATTGTCTTCTCTGAAGTCTCTGTCTTTTCCACATCGTCGTTTTTGGCGTTGCTGGATTTCTTGGATGATTTGACTGTTTTCTTGCCGTCTTCCTCTGATTCTGACTCGGATGATTCTTTCTTGATCTGCTTCTCTGCCTGCTTGCCTGATTTCCCACCCTCTTTTTTGGCTTTACTGGATTTCTTGGACAATTTGGACTTGTCCTTCCTGTCCTCCTCTGATTCTGACTCGGAGGACTCTTTCTTGCTCTGATTCTCTGCCTGTTTACTCAACTTCCCATTTTCTTTTTTGGTTTTACTGGATTTCTTGAACAATTTGGACTTATCCTTCTTGTCCTCCTCTGATTCTGACCCAGAGGACTCTTTCTTGCTCTGATTCTCTGTCTGCTTCCTTAAAGGAGTGGTTTTTACTCTGGCAGAGCGGCGGGTGGGCGGTGGGCTGTCTGCAGAACTAGAGGAAGTGGTTTTCTTGTCCTCAGAATCTTCCTGACCTTTGTGTATCGACTCTGCATCATCTTCTTTGCTTTTGGACCTAGAAGACCTTGAACCACAGCTTTTCACAACTGGTACTGGAGTCAGTTTGACTATCAGATTCTTTACTTTTGGCTGAGGACGCCGAGAGTCTGTTGCGTTTTCGTTTGTATCTTTGACGGAACTGTTGTCAGCCTGCGAGAGCATGGACGAATCTGCAAGGCTCTCCACCATCTGAAAAAGCTCCTCAGGAACCGATGGAGGTACTGACATGATGTCATGGTCTAAAGACATTTCCCCTGCTGACAGTAGCTCATCGTCACAAACCTCAGTTTTAATTATTCTTGTGTTTGCATCGGTTTCTGTTTGGTGGTCTTGCATTGCACTCTGATTGGAAACTTCATCGTTGTTAATGTCTTGGTTATCCTGCTTCTCCGTATCTTCTTCCATCATTTCAGTTTTGCTAAACAAATTGGATTCTTTAGGCAGCTCTTTATCTTCTTGCATTGTTTCATCGGTTTCATCAACCTGCTCTTTGATGTTTTCCTCCATTTCATCAGCTTTAAAACATAAATCTTTTTCATTAAGAGGCTTTTTGACAGTCTTCTTAATTACTTCTTTACAAACTAAATCTTTATCAGGCAAGTCTTTGACAATCTTTTCAGGCATTTGTGCCTCACAAACAGAATCTTCTTCAACTTTCTCTTCTTTGTTCACTTCTTTAGCTGCATCAGTCTCCAGTTCTGAATCTGCAACACCGTCCATTTGATCATTTTCTGTTGGTTCAACAATATTTGTGATCTTTGTCACGTGTTGCTCTTCAGTGCCGTTCTGTAACTCCATGTGTCTGAATTCAGGCTTTAAAGCTTCCTCTAAAGCATCGTGAGCTTTTTTCAAATCCGACAGAACCGCCTTGAAGGCCTTCAAATGGCGGTACCTGATAGACTTATCTGCCCGGTCATCAGTCGCCTGTTGGATGAACTGGATGAAGGTGTGGTTCAAACCAGTCGTAGTTTCAACAAGCTTCTTCGCTTTCTTTATAATTTCTTTGGGTACCTGCAGGTTTTTGTAGGAGAAAGTCATGGTTCCTGAGCCTTCAACATGTTCTTTTCCATTGGCTACAGCTCTGTGCTCTTTTGGTGATTTGCTCTTGTCCTGCTTTTTGTCACGTTCCGTTTTCTCTGTTTTTTGCTGCTTAAGTTCCACGTCTTCTTGTTTCTGTATGACACGGTGGCATTTAGAGACCAGATCCTGGAGTGGTTCTGACCGGCACACGTAGCAATGCCACTTTGAGTCCTCATCGGTTATGCTCGACAGCTCCTTCCTGCCCAGGTTTCGCAGAATACACTTCTTGCAGAAGGCGTTGTTGCAGTAATCGCAACAGATAAGCTTTCCACCTTCAGCACACCACCTGGAGAAGAAAAAACGTTTAAATGTACTAAAGGCCTAACAATCATTATTGCAAGATTTTGCACTACCTGTTAGCTCTTGAAGTATGTGCTGAGGCTGACTCTTAAATTACTAGAACAAGTGTTAGCTCAAATTCTGTAAATTTGCTTAGGGTAAATATTTTTGAGCTGGCTAATGTTGATTGACTTCTGTAGCCATTTTGTAGCCATCTTGAAATGGATTAACTATAAAAGTTAATCAGTTGCAGAAGCACAGTCAATCACTTTCTGGGAGTTCAAATAAAAATCCACCCATTGGTCTATGAGATATTTTGCTAACACTATAGTCAAATGATCATGTGTAAGCTTTTATATTATTGTACTACCTTACTGTACAATACTATTCAGGGATTGACTTAGGAATGCGCGATATGGCAAAAAATTCATAACACGATATACATTATAATGGGTGGTGGTAACGATATATATCACGATATAAAACTTATAATAGAAAATAAATAAATCACACATTAATTGAGTGGAATAAATACTGTATGTATAGGTAAAAAAATTTAGACCTTAAAATCTCCTTTTTCAAGGGACACTTTAAAGTCTACCATAAAGATATACATTATGATGAGTGGCGGTAACGATATATAT